ATATAGACATTTCTTTAGAAAATAAATACATAAACCCATTTATTAATGTAACAACTTTTATTTTATTTTAATTAGCAAATATTTTTATAAGAAAAGGTTTTGTTGTATTTTTTTAGACTCAACTGTTTCTTACTTCAATAAATTGTTTGATTTGCCACATTTTGTTTTTATCATAAAAAATAAAATTAATTTTATTTTAAATAATGAATCTTGCAATGAATAAAATACATGTGTTATGTCAATGATTATTCAATAATAATGTTTAAATGTTTAAATTTAAAGGAGTTCTTTCTGTGTAATTCTTAAAATATGTTCCGCCTGTAACGCTCTACATTTCAAGACACGATGCGCCTTTATCGCTCATTATTATATTTATTTCCTGTATGAAAAATACAGTTTCTATGGTCTATTTTTAGTATAAAAGTGCATTTGAAAGGAGATTATTTATTCACTTAAATTATTTAGAAATAAACTTCAAATACAGCTTCAACACGAAGCGTGTAAATGACATTACCACTACTACTTGTGTAAAGTAAGGATTTTAAGTAGNTAAGTGTATATATAAAAGTAAAAATAAGTATGTATGTTAAGTAAAAGGTTCCATATCGTTAAACTTATCTACTACAGTAGAGATCCGCACTCTCTAACACCTCTAAATCCCTACCCCTTAATTTAAACCGGAGCAATTTCTTGTGTTTTACAGTTTCATTATTGTAAATATTCAGGTCAATAAATATACATTTTAGCCACTAACACCATTGTGTTCATCACCCTTTTCCAATCCAACTTCACCAATCCCCACTCTAAAGTCCGAGCAATACGGGACATACGCAGCTAGTATTAAATATTTATCTTGCTACTGTATTTTATTTGTTGATGGCAAAATTTTACACCATTTTCAATGTTGATAAACTTATAAACAAATCTGTATGTTACAAACTTCAAAAGACTTTAAAATATGGTAAACAATTAAATTTAAAAACAGAAAGACTATAAACAGTTTAAATTCAAAACAAAAACATCGTTCTTTCCTATCACATTCTTTTTTTTTATTTCTGTTCGATTTTCTGCGATACACTGTTTAACATCAACAAGGGGATTTCTCTATTACTGCAACACCCGTATTTTAAATTGTAATGTAGCACTGTTGCAGAATATAGATTGGAGTAATAGGTTAAGGCAACACGTGGGCGATCTGCGAAAGGGATGACTCCCGCGAGAATTTGTATGGGGAAACTAACTCCTATTATGGTGTTAGACATGTAAAGAAAATCCGGAAAATCCACGCAGTCATCTCGTTAGTCAGGTGCGAACTTACGCAATACACAATAAAAATATGTTAATATATCCGTATATCATCGGCTTCAGCTTATTCTACCATTTAAAATTATGGTGTATCCTCCTTTACATCTTTTCCATCATTTATCCTTGGCTCTTTCTTCCTTACTGGCATTAAGAGGTCCTTTTTTTCATATGTGAATTCGATGAATGTTATCTCAGTTAGAAAATCTTCATTCAAATCACAAACAATGTCTTAAAAATTGACGCATTAATTAGAATTAAACACATAAAAAGTCATTTTATGCCAATAATTTAATGTTGTCCTTCACAATTTAAGTAATTTTAAAGATAAATACATGTATCTATTTAACTTTTTGATTCTTTCCGTTCTATGGGTGCTAGTTTGGATGGATGAATTAATGGAATGAGGCAACGCAATACATGAACAATACGCCAAAGAATGATGCTTCCTATGGAAACGGAGATGCCTTATATGAGGACTTTTTATGGGAAAATTCTACGGGAAAGTAGTCCCTATTTAGGCGTTAGACACAAGAAGAAGATGCCTGAAGTGAAGATTTTGCATAGGAAACTTCTATGGGAAACTAGTCCCTATTTAGGCTCTAAACACGTGAAGTAGGAGATACTTCACGTGAGAACTTTGTATGGATAAGTACTCCCTAATTAGATGTTACACATATGAAGAAAATCCAGAAAACTCCACGCGCCCAGTCCATTAGAGGTCAGTGTTTTTTCCACTCGGTCACTAATGGATACCGATAGGAGGGCCTTTTTAATCATGTTTATGGTAAGTTAGTCCAAGCCCACAATGGAAGAGACCGTATGATGAGAAGCGGGCCTGAAATATCGTCGTGTCTTTAGTTTATAAATATCCACTTCAATTAAGTGAAGTGCAGATCTAGTACTTGTCAGAAATCGTTTACACAAAATGGATATGTACAATTAAGATATTAAAGAAAAGTTTCTATCAATAGATTCTTAATCTCTTTATCTTTATACTGTCTTCATATAAGAATAAATACAGTAAATGTATTTTTATATTTATTTATTTTTATGCTAGAACTTTTACTATCTTAGGACCTAATTAACTGAAAACTTTTCGAATCTGGTATTTTAATATTATTTATTACTTTTTAATCCGTTCTTAAGTAATCTTAAACGTAATTTTTAAGAGATTTACATCATTTTATTGATTAATTTATGAAGAACATTCTATACTTTAACATGGTATGGATCAGTCATTAGCTGGTCTCTAGGGTTATAAACTTCTTCTCTGTATAAACTGCTTCGTGATCAAAATAAGATTTAGAATCTAAGAGGCTAAGCCGATAAAATCTATTTTTTTAATAATTATACGATAAAAGTTCTTAAAAAATTCAGCGCAGAATGCACAGAAGTATTTAACATAGAGGTGGCCCAAAAGTTAATTAACAGGGATAGTTCATCTGCGTGTTATTATTCATAATTTAATCACTCCTTCAGAAGCACTGAATCATAAAAAAATTATTTATGTATATATATATATAAGTACATACATACACACATTTCCTTTAAATATACTAAATAAATGTCAAGTATAAACTTTCTTTTTTTATATAAAATATGAAGCAAATTTCCAGACTTTATGACTTTTAAAGCTTGAAAATATAGAATTTATTATTAATTCTAAGCTTAAAAATCATAAAAGAAAATCTGCTATATATTTTATATTATTATAAAAAAAAGGAAGTTTATACTTGACATTTATTTACATTTTTTACATATAAGTGAAGACAAAGAAAGGCTAAATTGTCTTTTTTCCCTACTACTTGAATTTATATACAGGAAAATCACANATTAAACTTAAATTAAAAATAAATAAATAAATAAATAAAAATTTATATATTAATTATATTTTGTAACTTGTATACAATTTCCAAACGGCACGGTTCTTTATAGCAATTACACTGGAACCTCTAGAGTTCTTTACAGCAATCACATTCAAATCTGCCAATAACAGCCATTAGATGAGGACGTTATTGGGAGGTTCGAGTGTAATTGCTATAAAGAGGTTAAGAAATTCTAATTTAATTGCTGTAAAAAGCTTGGGAAGTTCGAATATAATCGCCATAAAGGGTTGTGCTTTCTCGAAAGTGTATAACGAGTTATAAAAATTAATTAATATTAACTTTATTATTTTAATATTTTTATTTATATGGAACGGAGGTCAGTTTATCAGGAACGTTTCTTAATGAATTGCCTTAGAAAATAACATCCAAACACGGTCATCTTCGAAGAACGATCATATTTGTTGTTGAGAAGTTTGAATATATTAAATAAATAATCAAATTAAATTAATTCTGTAAAAAGTTATTTTTATTTAATTCATTCTTTAAACAGGTTTTTTTTACAATAATTTCAGTAATGTATATAATAGTTAGCGAAAATATTTAAATTACACTTATAGAAAAAAATTAATTATAATTATTGTGACATCGTGCTGCAATTTTTAATTATATTCTTAATTTATTTAATTTAAAATATATGCTCTCCATCTTAAATTAGTAGTGGCGTGCCCCTGTAAATCATACTTTTCCTGATAACAACAGAGTCGTGCCGGTCATCTATGTAACTCTGTTCTAGAGAAAATTTGAATTGAAGTCACATGTTATTCGGTCTATGACTTAAGTCACGTGACTTATATTCAGTTAATTGGGGCCTCCTTTTCCTGCGTTTTCCATTTCTGGTCTTGACTTTCATCTATCTAACATTGTTCTCGAGATTAAAGAAGGACAGACAGTGAGAATATAAGAAATTACGTTCTTCAACACTTCATTTTATTAATTAATAAACATTTTATTTACTTCTTTGCCATTTTTGAATAGACTTTTGCCATATCTTAAACATGGCAAAAGAAACCCGTTCTATCCCCGGGCCCCAACAATCTCTCATTACACAAAATTAATGTTACTAGATAATTGTATATGGGGAAAAATTTTAATTATGCTATTTATTAATGATTTTTAACTTATATAACTTTCAAATCCTTACATTATATAGGACCCTATAGTAAATTTATCAACAAGTCATACGTGATGACCTTCTCAATCGGGACGGTTCGTATTTACTGAATAGCGCTTTTCATAATTATATGTCGAAAATATTATAAATTCGGTAATTAAATAAGTTATTAATAAGCCTATTATTCATCAGAATATCATGAATATTTACAATTATTATCTGATGAATATATTTCAGATATATAAATCATTATGAAGTAATCAAAGTGGATGATGCGTACAGTACTTAATAATTAATACGGTTGCTATAATATAAATTCACGTATCAAACTATTGTACAGTATAATAATAACTATGTGGTCATGTAAAAGTTTTTTTTTCATTCTGTAGAAAGACTTGAGGGAATAAAAGATAAAAATCGTAAACTTATACATTTTGAAATCTGCAGCGGAACGGAGCGATTTTCTACGTTTAAAAAAAACCTGTTTATAACGGAAACCTACCAAATCGGAAAGTAGATTCGGTACCGGTTTACACAGGTTTTTCTGTAATATTAAATTTAATAAATTAAATAATATATTTTTATTTCTTATTTAGAAACTATAAAAGTATTTACCTTAGTTTTTAGAATAAGAGGGGAGATAGAAAATACAATTTAATTCATCAATATCACATCTTAATTTATTAAGTAATACTTACTTATGAATATTCTTTCCAAAATTTGCATTTAACATAGAAAACTGAAGGCAAACAGCCAGTACTAAAGGTCGAAGTGTTAGCATTTTCAACCCTGTCGCTGTGACAAGCGAACACAGACTACAACAGCTAACGCTGTATCATACCTTAAATACATCCCAAGTCACAGACTTCACCATCCATTGCGCATGTCATTTAACGATTATACAAGAAAAAATATATATACTTTTAAACTAATGAAAAATTCGTAAATATTTATTTTAAAATATATAAAATAAAATTTGTTATAAATAATAATACATTTATTTAAAGATAATTTTATACAAAATATTTAACTTTTATTTCAATTAAATTTTTAATTNAAGAAGAATTTTGAAAGAAGGAACGATAATGTTTTTAGAAATGAATATATTTCAAATTGTATGCAGACAGCGGCGCCAGAAATCTTAATCGATACACAAATACGAACAGGTTAAAATTACCTCCTCGTCAAAACTAAGGGTAGTTGATGTTAGAATAAGCCCCAGGTAATCATAGTCTACGAGCCAATCACTCTTATCTAAAGGAGTTGCAGGTTGTGAGGTCAGTCAAGAACAAGATGAGGTCTGTACAGGGTTTAGGCGGTCCAACTGAAGGCAATTGAACCCCCTTTAACGACAGTATTTGGAACATTGAATTGATTATGTACATCTTGTTATAGTTTAAATACCTTATTTTTACTATCGTTAGAACGATAATCGATATTTACTACTTTGTTTATCTTCGATTTTATAACCTTAAATTAAAAATAAATAAATAAATAAATAAAAATTTATATATTAATTATATTTTGTAACTTGTATACAATTTCCAAACGGCACGGTTCTTTATAGCAATTACACTGGAACCTCTAGAGTTCTTTACAGCAATCACATTCAAATCTGCCAATAACAGCCATTAGATGAGGACGTTATTGGGAGGTTCGAGTGTAATTGCTATAAAGAGGTTAAGAAATTCTAATTTAATTGCTGTAAAAAGCTTGGGAAGTTCGAATATAATCGCCATAAAGGGTTGTGCTTTCTCGAAAGTGTATAACGAGTTATAAAAATTAATTAATATTAACTTTATTATTTTAATATTTTTATTTATATGGAACGGAGGTCAGTTTATCAGGAACGTTTCTTAATGAATTGCCTTAGAAAATAACATCCAAACACGGTCATCTTCGAAGAACGATCATATTTGTTGTTGAGAAGTTTGAATATATTAAATAAATAATCAAATTAAATTAATTCTGTAAAAAGTTATTTTTATTTAATTCATTCTTTAAAGAGGTTTTTTTTACAATAATTTCAGTAATGTATATAATAGTTAGCGAAAATATTTAAATTACACTTATAGAAAAAAATTAATTATAATTATTGTGACATCGTGCTGCAATTTTTAATTATATTCTTAATTTATTTAATTTAAAATATATGCTCTCCATCTTAAATTAGTAGTGGCGTGCCCCTGTAAATCATACTTTTCCTGATAACAACAGAGTCGTGCCGGTCATCTATGTAACTCTGTTCTAGAGAAAATTTGAATTGAAGTCACGTGTTATTCGGTCTATGACTTAAGTCACGTGACTTATATTCAGTTAATTGGGGCCTCCTTTTCCTGCGTTTTCCATTTCTGGTCTTGACTTTCATCTATCTAACATTGTTCTCGAGATTAAAGAAGGACAGACAGTGAGAATATAAGAAATTACGTTCTTCAACACTTCATTTTATTAATTAATAAACATTTTATTTACTTCTTTGCCATTTTTGAATAGACTTTTGCCATATCTTAAACATGGCAAAAGAAACCCGTTCTATCCCCGGGCCCCAACAATCTCTCATTACACAAAATTTATGTTACTAGATAATTGTATATGGGGAAAAATTTTAATTATGCTATTTATTAATGATTTTTAACTTATATAACTTTCAAATCCTTACATTATATAGGACCCTATAGTAAATTTATCAACAAGTCATACGTGATGACCTTCTCAATCGGGACGGTTCGTATTTACTGAATAGCGCTTTTCATAATTATATGTCGAAAATATTATAAATTCGGTAATTAAATAAGTTATTAATAAGCCTATTATTCATCAGAATATCATGAATATTTACAATTATTATCTGATGAATATATTTCAGATATATAAATCATTATGAAGTAATCAAAGTGGATGATGCGTACAGTACTTAATAATTAATACGGTTGCTATAATATAAATTCACGTATCAAACTATTGTACAGTATAATAATAACTATGTGGTCATGTAAAAGTTTTTTTTTCATTCTGTAGAAAGACTTGAGGGAATAAAAGATAAAAATCGTAAACTTATACATTTTGAAATCTGCAGTTATACTTCAATGCATTTTGAAGATTTCATAAAATTGTTTTTTAATAACTCCATAGTATATTATATAATAATAGCACTCAACAATAAAGAAGTACATTTATAGAAATATATTTTTTTTATTTACAGAATAGAAAGTATCTTAAATATCAGAAAAGCAATCTATCTATCTATCCAGTGGCATCCTCTCTACAGAGGGTTGCATTTGATGAACTATTCCTCTCCATGTTTCTCTATTCCAGGTTTCTCTTAAATCCTTTCCAGTCCAGTCTTTGATGTTATCTCTCCAAGTCTTTCGGGGTCTTCCTCTAGGTCGTTTCGCCAAATAAATCAAAAGAAAATAAACTTTACAATTTTTTCAAGTCAATTTATATCTTGTAAGATCCAAGTGTGGGAATTCCACGTAGAGTTTTCCGGTATTTTCACGTGTCTAACACTTTAAATAGGTGCCATTTTTCCATAGAAACTGTGCGATTTGCCAATTGACGAATAAGGCAAAGCAGAATCTGTGAAGAGACGATGCCTAGGAGGCATCGCCCCTAGGCAGATTACCATGAGTTACGTTGCCTTATTCCATTAATCTAATCATTGTGTTAGAGGATCTCTACACAAATGCAAGGATTGCTTTATTAGGGGTTCCAAATCTGGTCATCAGAACTCTCCAAATATCAATTGATTTGTATCTGTATTGGCCAATTTACTAGGTATCGTTTATAATCAGTATTATATGAATTTATTTATATTATATATAATCCTATTTGTAACTTATTCTTATTTTGTTTGAGTGTAGAAAAGAGTTGTCAAATTAAATTTGGTTTTTCAAAGCAAATAAGGATTAAAAAAATCTTGCTATACAGTAATCGTAATAGTGTTGAAGGTAATTATTATAAAGTGGTTATGAAAAGAATTTTAAAGGATTTTAAAATCTTTCGAAAGAGATCATTGAATTTGAAAGGTAAATATATAATCTATACGAGTTTATCATGTGTACCTTTGATATTCCCTAGAGTTATTTCTAGAGAATGACGAATGCTGGCACCTTTTATAGTATTGATGTCATTGAATGATACTTTATATATGTGATTTTATCTATTCTTGTGTTACAAGAACAATAAATTCTTTCCGTTACGGCTTAATTTATTTAATTTGATTTATTGTTATATTATTTATATGAGAAACAAGTCCGTTAGATTATTTTCTCTGAAGTGTTTACAACAATCTAATGTTAGAATGATGCGGGGGTTGAAGAAAATAAATTAAATCATTAATGTATATAGATCTTGAATGATTTGGTCGACTCTAAAGATAATTCCAATTAAGTAATTTTCTTTAAATAAGATGTTTATATCAATATTTTCCGAATAAAAGTGATTTTTAAATAAATACAGGCTGGCCCAAAAGTTACTCATAAGATTAATTCATCCTTTATAAAAGTTAACTGAATTATGAACCACTCTAAAAGTTTTGAAATTAATCTATTTCTTATACTTTCGTTTACATACAAAGTTTATAATAATAATAATTTACTATAGAATAACAATTAAAAGGCAAGAATAAAATTTTTAATTAATAAATAAAGANATACAATATATGTATATATAAAAGTAAAAATAAGTATGTATGTTAAGTAAAAGGTTCCATATCGTTAAACTTATCTACTACAGTAGAGATCCGCACTCTCTAACACCTCTAAATCCCTACCCCTTAATTTAAACCGGAGCAATTTCTTGTGTTTTACAGTTTCATTATTGTAAATATTCAGGTCAATAAATATACATTTTAGCCACTAACACCATTGTGTTCATCACCCTTTTCCAATCCAACTTCACCAATCCCCACTCTAAAGTCCGAGCAATACGGGACATACGCAGCTAGTATTAAATATTTATCTTGCTACTGTATTTTATTTGTTGATGGCAAAATTTTACACCATTTTCAATGTTGATAAACTTATAAACAAATCTGTATGTTACAAACTTCAAAAGACTTTAAAATATGGTAAACAATTAAATTTAAAAACAGAAAGACTATAAACAGTTTAAATTCAAAACAAAAACATCGTTCTTTCCTATCACATTCTTTTTTTTTATTTCTGTTCGATTTTCTGCGATACACTGTTTAACATCAACAAGGGGATTTCTCTATTACTGCAACACCCGTATTTTAAATTGTAATGTAGCACTGTTGCAGAATATAGATTGGAGTAATAGGTTAAGGCAACACGTGGGCGATCTGCGAAAGGGATGACTCCCGCGAGAATTTGTATGGGGAAACTAACTCCTATTATGGTGTTAGACATGTAAAGAAAATCCGGAAAATCCACGCAGTCATCTCGTTAGTCAGGTGCGAACTTACGCAATACACAATAAAAATATGTTAATATATCCGTATATCATCGGCTTCAGCTTATTCTACCATTTAAAATTATGGTGTATCCTCCTTTACATCTTTTCCATCATTTATCCTTGGCTCTTTCTTCCTTACTGGCATTAAGAGGTCCTTTTTTTCATATGTGAATTCGATGAGGCCCTCAATGGAGTGGCCGGATGATGAAGGAAGGGCCCAAGATAGGTTACCTCGAGGATTCGATCTTGGATTCTTCAAAACAGTAGATGAAGCCTTACTCGCCTCCCCATTTGGACGTCGACCTTTTTATATAATGTTATAGTATATATTACTTTTATTTATTATGGTTTTATTAACAAGTAGATTTTAAATACAATATTGCATCAG